CTAGCATTGGAAAGCTCCCCAGGATCCAAGCAGTAACATTCTCACGGCCCATCTCACACCTTGGCGGCAGCGGTTGCAAGCACGTAGTCGTCACCCCTGATCACGTTAGGGACGACATTGAACTTTATCTCGCCAACAGGCTTGGGCGAAGCTGCTGCTTTGTAGCACAGAGCGAACAGGCAAGAAGAGACTTGCTCTGCCAGCTTGCGGACCAGGCCAAGGGTTCCTTCCTGTTTGCCTACCTTGCCAGAAGACTTTTCTTTGCAGTCTCCGATTTTGGAGCCTTCAGAGGCATCATTGCTGGCTGCAAATCCGACGTCAAGGCCGTCATCGGAGAGCTGATGAAGAAGGTCAATCTTAAGGAGGAGTACGGCGAGAGCAAGACGTACAACCTCTTCACATTTATGGTCACCGCCCAGCGCCCGCTCACACTCGGAGAAATGACCGACCTTCTCGGAGTCTCATTGTCGACACGCACCGTTTCCCCTGGCGCTGATGTCAAGGGGCCCGTGAGCAACACCCAAGGTCTTGTGGTAATTCGCCACGGTACCCTGCGATTCAAACACTCCACTATCAGGAAGTACGTCCAGAGCCTTTGCGGCTCGACTCTCATGTCCGTCCACGACTCCCATCGTCATCTCACCATGGCCCTTCTCCTCTTTGCCAAGACCAAGTTCAGCAATTACACTTGTGAGCCGTCAATGGAACCGGTAGCCGAGGAGACCTTCCATGAGTGCTTCCAAGCGTACCACATTGTCAGCTACATGGTGCGCCACTGGGTTGCCCATTTCCGCTCATCATCACTGTGCGGCCAGAACGGCACCATCACCTTGACTTCCGAGTTCAAGGATGTTTTCCCCGACTCCATCTTCTTCACCATGCTGGAGTGGCACTACTGGCAGACACAGTACGCCATCAAGGAGACCATTGAGATGCACAGCTTGAGTCTCCGGATCCGCTCTACTTGCTTCGGCGAGAAGAACCGATCATATCTCCAAAGTCTCATTATCCTTGGAAGCCTGCACCGCAGTCAGTCTGAGCATGCTTTCGCGGCTGAGTTCTTCTATAAGGCTTCCCATCTTGGGCAGACCATCCTCTACAAGTTCAGCCCTCTCGTGGTTTCATGCACGAACCTGTTCCTCACTTGCACCGAGACTCTCACCTTCACCAAGCGCACTCAAACAGTTACGCACCGTGAAGAGATGATCAAGTTCATGATTGAGATCTCCAAGAGCAAGCAGGGAGCCCGCAGTGATGCCGTCATCAAGTGGTATGAGGCTCTCGCTAAGCTTTACATCGATATCAAGGAAGAAGAGCTTGCGATGTCTATCTACAGCGAACTTCATATCATCATTATCGCCCGTTTCGGCAAGGGCTCGAAGAAGGAGGGGTCGATTGCCGAAGCCATCTCAGGCATGACCATTGTTCTGAAGGCTAGCGACAAGAAGGCCCACAACCATAGCCAGTGGCATTCGCTCTTGTTCGACACTGCCGACGACTTGTCGTTCACCGATGTCCGTCGCATCAAGATTCTCATCAGTCTAGCTGTTGAGTACGAGTCCAAGGGCCATCTGATCCAGGCTGAGAGGCTGTACATCAGCCTCTGGCGGGGCATTCTCGAGGTCTGCCGTACCACCAAGGTGACAACCGAGCTTCACATCCAGAAGATCAATATTGCCATCGAGTACATCAACTTCCTCAAGCGTGTCAAGCGAACAGAGGAGGCTTGCAACATCATGATTTGCGTCTGGGCCGAGTACGAGAACCAGTCCTTTGAGTCCGAGATCATCATGATCCGCCTCAAGGAACTTGGTGTTCTTGCCAAGTCGTTCGGCATTCTCAGCGTATCCATGTCCATCCTCAAGAAGGTTTGGGGCTGGTTCAAGGAGAGGAAGACGGTCGAGAGCGAAGAGGCTCAATCCACTACCACCATCATTACGGAGGTCGTCGAGGAGATCACCGAGACTTACGTCGAGACCAAGACGACGACCACCGTCGTTGAGACCGTCACCCGGGAGATCTGGGAGACCAACTACCAGCGCTGCCGTGGTCGCAAGGCCGACAAGACCTTCTTTAAGTCTTGCTTGGCCATGGTTAACCTCTACCTCAAGCTTGAGAATTGGGCTGAAGCCGAGGTCGTGATTCGCCAGTCTCTCGATATCACTTGGAAGGGCGTCTTGTCAGTCGACTCCAAGTTGACCATCGAGGGCGAGTTCATATCCGAGCGCATACTTGTAGCACAGCGTCTTGCTCTCTGCTATCATCGCCAAAGACAATTCGAGAAGGCGGATGCGATCTACCTACGAATCTACAACGCCTGTTTCTCGACCCTCAAGGTTGACAATGTGTTGATCTTCGAGGCGGCTGAGGCCCTGGTTCGGTTCTATGAAGACTTCCACCGTCACGAGAAGGTCATTGACATCTACGTCAAGCTCCTACAGCATTACCGCAGACATTTATCTTCTGGTCACAGCCTGCAAGTCAGCATTCTTTACAAGCTCGCTGCTGTCTACCACAAGCTCGGCCGTAGGGAGGCTTACGGTTGCTACGGCGAGATCGTTACTATCTTCTCCAAGGATGGATGCTGCCACGGAAGTGCACTGGATGCAGCCATAATCGTCCTCAACCACTACCACGCTGAGAAGCGCTGGGCTGAGCTGCAGAAGATTTGCGTCACGCTCTGGGCCACCTTTGTCCACCACAACCGTGAGATCAAATTCACGCAGGATATCGTCGAGCTTATTTATGAGCGATACCGCTATGTCCTTGAGTTCCACGCCAAGGTAGAGTTCTCGGTTCGCTACAAGCTCACGATTGAGTATCGCGAGACCGCGACCAAGGTATTTGGCGCCAATGCTGCCATCGTCATCAAGGCTTTGATCGCTCTGGCGGAGTTGTGTGAGACTTCCGAGGAGCACTATCATGAGTCCATTACCATCTACGAGGAGGTTATCAAGAAGACTACGACCACCAACGTTGTCTCAGAGACCACGGTCAGGACGATCAAGAGGCGTCTATCAAAGCTCTACGTGACTGTCATCACAACCAACAAGGTGACAACCACCACCACTATCGATCGTGCGATCGGAGTCAGTCTTGAGATTTACGCTCAACTCAAAATTGAATTCGGCTGGTGGCACGAGAAGACTCTGTCCAAACTTAAGGAAGTCGTCTTGCTATACAAGAAGATTGGTAACAAGGAGGCTCATTCCTCCATCGCCCAGCTTCTACAGGTTTCCATCATTGAGATCATCACTACTGTCAAGATCTCCATGAACCTTCATGCGTCAGCCAAGACGCTGGCGTCCATCTACCTGTCTGCGGGCATGGTCCACTATGGCCAGGATCTTCTCCGACAGCTGCGATACCTGCTTCTCTTCCCTGGATTCGAAGGCGGAGAGAAAGATGTCAACATCAAGATCTCCAGCCAGTCGAGCAAGGTGTACCTGGTATTCTTGATCTCGTTTGAGCAGGCTCTCAACGGAGATGCCAAGGAACGGTACAGCTTCTCTGAGCTGATGGCAGATGTGCTCCTCGAGACAGTTCTCTACGAGCAGTACATGTCTGTCATGGCTACTTGCACCGATTCCACCAGGATTGAGACAATCATTGAGCCGGCAGCTCGCCTTCGCTTCGTCTGGCAGTCCCGAGGCCGCAGTGGCTTCGTGGACGTCCTTGACAAGAAGCTCTTCGCCCTGTTCACGTCGCGTTACTTCAAGTCTTCCAGCTCCCAAGACGACAGAAATGCCAGATTTGCCTTCTACGTCGCGCTTCTCAACGAGATTGGCGGTGGCATTGCTGATAGGGGCACTGTCGACTTTGGTCTGGTATCCTGCAAGGCCGCCTATACTGCTGTCAGAAGACTCATGGTAGAGGAGAAGGACTTTATCAGAGCTCAGAAGGTCGCGCAATGTGGATTTGACTTTGCTCAATCCCAGCGATTCTATCACCAGCGCAACTGCTACGTATGGGGCTTCCGTTTCGCCGAGGTCCTGACTGGCATCCGCGTAGACACGTGGAAGTCTGCCGGCAAGCAACAGCAGGATGAGCTGCTTTCCATAAGCCGTAACGTCTTGCAACATGTGTTGACGGTCTTGAGAGACGATAAGGTCGAGTTTACTAGCCTTCGCTTCGAGGACATTTCCGGACTTGTTCGCCTCCTTGGCGAGCAGAAGAACTGGGCAGAACTCGAGGTAAGTTTCATACGATCTTGAACAACTAGTACTTCCCTGCTCTTTACTGACTTCCTCTTTCCAGAGCCTTCTTACCTCGCTTTGGCGATCTAGGGAGGTCCAGCGCAACTGTGGCGTATGGTCTCCTGATATCGTTCTGACCATCGGCTCTCTGCTGGTCAACGCGCACGAGCTTGCGGGCCACCTAGACCAAGCCATCACCCTCTGCGAAACCATATACTACAACGTTCGCCAGTCTCGTGGTGGCTTGGATTCTTCCGCATTCTACTTCTCGAACCGCCTAGCCTACCTCCTGCGCCACGCCAAGCGTCTTCGCGATGCCGGACGTGTGCATCTGGATGTTGTATGCGATCTTGACGAGCACCTTTCCGCAAGCCAAGGCGCGGACAAGGACGAGCGTCTTCGTGCCGCGGCCGACATGCACCTCGACGGCATGCGACGATGTGGCTGGGCCACCCGCGGTGACGTGAGAAACACGAGTGAGATCCTCGAGAGACTAAGAGGATATGGTAAGCTCAACGTGCCGTCCATTGAGAATTGGTCGGCAGCGGATGAGAAGAAGGAGACGAGCCTCGTGTGGCCCGAGGCGATCAAGTGGGATCTCGGCAAGCCTGAGACTGAGGTCCAGGCGCCCAAGAAGAGAGATTTGTTGTCTCCGGCCAAGGAGAGATGGAGTCGCTTGGGATTCAAGCGGCTCGGGTCCGAGGTGGCGCACTGAATTTGGAGTTGAGATGTCTGAATTTGGATTCTTCTACGGGTTTATCGAGAGTATGGAGGAGTTTCTGGGGGAGTTTACACATTGGCCAACACTGGGTCACGTCACGTTTCTTTGAGTCATGTTTTCTTAGGTCCATTCGAATTAATGCTGTCTGAAGGACAATAGAAGAATTATTTTACCTTAGATATGCATCTAGATTTCACAGAGAGACTCGAGAAGAGTGAATCAACCGCCACAGCTTGGTTGAAGGTTAAGAGGGAAGTGTTGAACTTACCACAGCAAGGTATTTCGGCCATGGCCATTATTCACACCTAAAGCGGTAGAATCTCATCCAAGATATGGCCAATGAGAAATACATCACTGTGTTCATTTTAAGGTAAGCTACTTGAGTAAGAAACATCATTCAATGAATTCAAACTACACATGTTGAACCAGTCAACAACGCCTTGGCACGTCGAGTGTGTGTGCCTTCCTTCAAGAGCCTTGTTAGCTAAATTGAAGTTCCATAAACCCTCTCACTCGTCTCTGCTGAAGAGCCTTCCCAGATGGGATGTTTTAGCCTCTGACATAGCCGGCCAGCTGGAAAATTGGCATGTTACTGGACTGACTGGAGCATGTTCGTTGGTAGTAGAGTAGCTGCGGTTCTCTGGTCAAGGGTTCGCATCCCTGCAGACGCTTTGTGGTCGCTTATATGGCCTTGACGCATCAGGTCACATGTAGGCGCTTGGAGAATTAGACAATGATTAGATTGCCCTGAAATCTGACTATAACCGCTCGGAAATTTCCCAAAAGGTGAGGCGGCCTCCGCAGCTGGTTTGGGGCCTCTAGAGATTGTTGGTTGGGTCTGTTGTTCAGGCTTCGAGTCTTTTTACCCTCTTAAATGGAAAAAAAGTAAAATAATGACACCTCTGACTGTTGATGCTGACACAGCCACGAGCTCAGCCCGGATTTCCTCGATACTAATATGGGTAGTATCCCTCAGTCAGTCTGTTGCTCAGACGATCCGCAACCCTTCATTTTCAGAACTTCACCAAATCCGCACCTTTCACCTTTAAATGGCCCCTTCCATCGAGTCTATCAAGGCGTTATTAGCACTTGCCGAACACTCCAACTTTGATGTTCAATTTTCCATCACTACCCCATATGGCCTTGTTCTTGAACTATCAGGCGACTCTCTTCAAGTTCGCTTGGCGGAAGGCAAGGACCCGCTGTCTGCCACCCCTACGGCACAGGTCGAGTCCCAACTTCCAGTCACCCAGGCCATCTCTTCTGAACCTCTGTCTAAGATAGAGGAGGAAGGTCTTGTCCATGAGCCGCTAGCAGATACGTCTTTGCTCCAAATGCACAGAGAGAGATTCCTGGAGTTGGTAGATCAACTAAAACCTCAGTTGAACGAACGACCAGAACCCCGGAAAGAATATGGGCCTTCACTGCCAGGATACAAATACTACATTTGGCCAGACTACGGAACCAATTTCATGTGGTATACCTACGGGTGGCCTGGGAATCCTGAGGGTGGCGATCCTGTCGACGACGACGAATTGCAAGAGAGATATCCTGAAGCGTGGTTCAACGCTTACACGAATTGGTGGGAGCAATACACCGAAGCTTTCAAGGCTCATGGTCTTGATCAGGGTTACGATAATCCACTGTTCGAAACCGCCGAGGAAGAAAGCCTTTGGAACATGGAAGGCGCACTATTGGCTGCATGGCTGGCATTACAAGATGATGTGCATGCGGTCAATTATGAGCTTCAGAATGTGAACAATTACGAGTTCAATTTTGAGCGCGGCAGCATCGAAAAGACTTTGGTGAGCTTCCTTCAACTTATCAAGTTGGATCAAAGACCATTGGAGGCACCTGCTGGGCGATGAAACGTTCATTCAATTGGTTGTGCAATCGCCCAACATGTAAGATTTTGTCAATTATCGTTATTATGTGGAATAGATCTGTTCTGTTACGAAGAGTTATGTAGACATTATTATTTCAGAAGACGGCCATAGAAGACGAATCATCTCCAACAGAATGCAATAAATTGGTGCTACTCCTCCGCCGTATCGGCACCGGTGAACTTGGCGAGGCCGAGAGGTAGACCTTAATACCTTCCTTAATACATGCATCAATGATTTAAAGACATATGTAAACGCGTCGTTGAACAGTTCTATCTGTCTGTGTACCACGAGAAATCTTCTCAGCCGTAGAGACCACTATGGACCATGATCTTTCCCATAGCTGTGTGTAGGGACTTCAAGATGCAGTCGATATCTCAGAATTCCGTCGGTTTCAAGTAATAAAGGCTTTTGGAGGTAGTATCGTTGGCCGTAATATGAGCGCCTGTTCGAAAAATATTGTCAACATCGTCTGCAGCATTGACACTGGGTGTTCAAACTCATCACCACAAATACGGCTTTTCGGACCACCCACGCGGATCTGCGCTGAGCACCAATCCGCGCTTTCAGGGGCTAATCAATGTCTATCAAAAGTGTTCCCCCCCCCCCTCCCACCCGCCCAGCTTCGAACTCTTGAACACGGACCATTTTCCAGTGTGAGTGTCGTTGGTCAAGTTGGTCTGCTTCGTAATGCCGCCCTTCAGATTCCCAAACTCTACGCTTCCTCCACCAACAGGGCGCTGTAGCTTGTTCTCCCCGGCAAGGACGGTGAAATTTGCCAGCGCGATCTCGAGTCCATTTCTCGTGGCGTACGTGGGCAACCCAAAGAACGTAGCATTGACCGCGTCGTAGTCAATGGTCATCTCAAAGTAGCCGCGGTAGTAATACTCCTGCCACTGCAGCTCTGGGTTCGTAGCTGTCATCCAAGCGCTTCTGTTAAGAGCTTTCTCTTGGGTGATGTTCTGACCTGCCGATGAAGGCGAGGTGACGGCTGTGCCGGCGAACTCAACTCCGATGGAGCCGGCCCCAGTCTCCGAATTGTAGTTTTTTTCACCAAGCCAAACAAGGTCGCTGACCCATGATGCATGACTATCGCCGGCCAAAAACACTGTGTTGTCGATGCTGTTATCATAGAGCGTCTTGAGCGTCCGGTTTCGGTTAGCAGCATAACCGTCCCACTGGTCGTAGTTGAACGGGTTCTTGGGTCCATTGGAGATGCTCTGGTTCATTTTGCTGAAGACCACCTGGTTACCAACGACACGCCATCGTGTTGTCGAGGCTGACTGTATGAGCTGACGGTAGAACCAGTTTTCTTGGCGAGAGCCCATCAGCGAGCGGCTGGCATCATCACTAATGGCATGAATGTAGCCTGTGTTCCAGTATAGATCGGTGATGGAGCGATCGTAGTTGCGGGTGTCGAGCATGATGAGGTTAAAGAGGTCGCCGAATTGGAAGCTACGCCAGATGCGGAGGTTGTCGTCCATATCAACCTGACGGAGGGGCACTTTCGGAAGTAGGCAATGTTAGAGTGGACAGCTGGGAGATTTTGCAGCGCTGGACATAGAACTCACTCCATTCGAAGGATGCGCGCACAGCATTCATCTTGCGCGCTTCTACGGATATTCCGTCGTCCTTGATAAATGATTGTTCGGTGTTGTTCATTGCTGCGGAGCCGTCTCGGTAAGGGTTGTCCATCACCTCGTGGTCATCCCAGACGGTTATCCAGGGGAATCTTTGATGGCTAGCGCGAAGGTCAAGGTCGCTGCGGTACTGGGCAAGGCGTCTTCGGTAATCGTAGAGCCTAAGGAAGAATTGAATCAGTCATGGATCGTTCAACAGATAGGAAACCCGTCAAGATTTTACGCACGTGTGACATGCGCGGTTGGGCTCGGGAACGCGACCGATAGAGTCTCCCCATCCCAAGCCGCCGACGGGATACTCGCCGTTTCCATACTCGTAGATATAATCGCCGAGGTGGACGACATAGTCCACAGAGTCTTTCCGCTCGGGATTCCCGTAGGCATTGAAGAGTCCAAATGCTAATGCAACCACATTAGCTTGGATAACCTAACTACGTTATTGCAACATGGACTTTATCGAATAGCTCACGGTAGTTGGCACAGCTATAAACAGCTAGCTTGATTGCCCGGTTCACTTTGGTACCCGACTCAGGCAGGGTGCGAGTTCTGCCAATGAGGGACTTGACATCGGAATTACAGACATTGAACTGGTAATCTGCTTTGTGTTAGGTGGTGTTTCTCGACAAGGTTGTTGAACCAACAGTAAACTGTGAATGGCTTGAGAGCTTTTGCTTCGACCTGTGATAGAATAAGTGAGTTAGGCTTCGGGCGTCTACATAATACACGTCGACTAACCTTGACGGTGAAGTCAACATCCGAACTCGTATAAGCCGTCCCTGACCTGATCGGTTGCCCATCCATGGATGCGGACCTCCCGATCTTCCAGTCAACGCAGATTGGCGACTTGCTTGCCTTGACGAAGACGTCGTTGTCGTGAGCGTACATTGGAGCGGTGCCCTCAACGGTCACGTTGCTGCGGTCATTATCCATGGTTGGTGCAACACGAGTCCAGAGGATAACGCTGTCGTCATACGGGTCGCCGGATGCTACGCCGTGTGTGAAATTCAGCTGCTCCGGTGTCCATGGCGAACTACCCTCAGATCGGCTTGCTACTTTACGAATAGAGATACCAAGGAACGGGTGGTGGAGTGATGGAGAGCCATAATTAAGGTTGCCCGCATATGTCGCGGTAGCTACGGCGGCTAAGATGCCTGTGTAAAGAGCCTTGAGAAAGTGCATCTAAAAAATTGAACGAATGACTAGCAGTCGAGCCAGGAATGAAGAGCTCTTTGAAGTAATGGATTCCTGAATCCGTTCAGATCCGATGTAGCACGAAAAGGTCAATTGCCACAAGCTCACTTATTTATCTCCTCTTCCTAACAAGGACTGAAACAATATTATAAGTCTATGGTGCACGTACTAAAGCGTTGTACCGGTATCCCACCGGAAGGGTGGGGGAGCAGAGCCAGTAGCTAACTAAGTAGCCGGAAGTCAATCGTAATTTGTGAACCTTAATACTCAGTATCCAAGCGGTGAAGTCGGGCTCTTTGTGATGCCGACTGGTGCTCCTAGGGCTGTAAAGCAAATCAGTAGTAGACGGACTTGACTTAGTGCGAGGTGACAGGAGTACGAATAGCGGGTAGAGGCAGCTAGCAGCACACAAGAGATTGTCATCTTCATTTCAAGCTTCAGGTGAACTACAGTCAAGTAGCTTAATAGTATGGCCTAACAGCTCCACTCCGACGTTGATTTTTGAACGACTCTGCACTGTACCATTCCGTCGTGAAGGAACTATGGCCTCAGACCTGTTGATGATCTATTTATTTACATGACTGTTGATAGGCTCAGAGGACTGCAGGATTCCCTGAGCTGATGTATACTTGGATAATTGTTCCTGGATATGCGGCGTTGAGAGCTTGTTGATTTCATTCAACTGATTTGGATTGATTGTCGTGACTTCTTACAAGCAGCGTCCTAAGCTGACCGATTATCCATTGGAAATTGATTGGTATCCACAGGATAATTTATGCTGGGCTCCGGTAAATCGAAGTACCAACCCTAGATGCCGTAATTGGTCAGAGGCTTTGCCGGGAGAGGCTGCCCTCGCTGGTGGTGGCGCCGAGAACCTCAGTCGGAAAGAGTTAGACAGCTATTGTCCATCTCTGATTTCCTCGTTTGCCATGAAAATCATCTTATTGGACAATATGGCCTTTCCAACTTCAGACTTATAAAACAAGGTAACCGGGTACCCGGCAGTCGGAGTTCTGAACTTACTTCCATAAATTGCCGTGAATTCATTCTCGATTCTTACGGGCCTCTAAACTAAAGTTTTTGTTTTGTCAGTTTCCATATTGGACCCAGCTGAGACTCGTAAAAGTTTTCAATAGCTTTTGATACGGCATTAGGTCACGAACATCAGATCGACTCAACATACCTCAAACGCAAGATGTGTGTCATGGCTTCAAATCGCCATGCTTGGATGCCAGTCTCCCAGAGCCGCTCGTTGCTTATAACCCTCAACAGCATCACCATCCTCCCGTTCCTTTGGATCAACCTCATCGTATTCGTGCGAAGCAAGCACACTCTGCTAGATATAGTCGTTGTGCTTTGCGGAACTATCTGCATTCCCTGGCCTATCGTCTGCTTCTGGAACTCTGCAATTGGCTTATGTATCATCCTGTTCGGCAACGCAGAGCGATCCGTCTACCCATATTTTCGACCTCGAGGACCTCTGTCGAAGCTCAGGTCTACAACAGCGCTCACGATCTTCATGCGTAACGAAGATCCAGGTCCAGTGTTCGACCGCCTCTACGCCATGTATGAGAGCCTTCAGCAAACCAATTGCCTCAAGCACTTTCGCTTTGTGCTACTCAGCGACACCGGCCACGTTGACGTAGTGCGATCGGAAGAGGAGGTATTTGCTCAGCATGCCGTATCTCTGAGCGAGGGCATGGCTAAGTCTCTGTTGTATCGACGCCGTGACAGAAACACCGGTTACAAGGCTGGCAACCTCAAAGACTACCTCGACAACCACTCCAAAGAAGACGACTTCTTCGTTACCCTTGACTCCGACAGCGCTATGAGCGGCGACTTGCTCGTCCGGCTGGTTTCTAGCATGGAAGAGAACCCCCTCATCGGCTTACTGCAGACCATAGTCATCGGTATGCCTGCATTCAGCGCGTTCACACGGCTCTTCCAGTTTGGCCTGCGTCATGGGGTGCGAACATACAACATGGGCTTCAGCTGGTGGGCTCACGACTGCGCGCTGTATTGGGGTCACAACGCCATCATCCGTACTGATGCCTTCCACAAGCATTGCATGCTGCCGAAGGCTCCCTGGAGAGCCGCCGCTGGGTGGTTACATCTTCAGTCACGATCTGCTGGAGGCAATGTTCATGCGCCGAGGCGGCTACGAGGTTCGGGTGCTGCCTATCGAGACGGAAAGCTACGAGACCAATCCGCCTACCTTTCTCGACTTCTTACGTCGCGAATTACGCTGGTGTCAGGGGACTATGCAGTACTGGTTCATGCTGAGCGAGCCTGGCATTCATCCAATCAGCCGCTTTCAGATGTGCCAGACTTTGACCACGTACATTGGCCAGGCTTGCTGCGTTTTGATGACACTAGCATGTATCGCGAAGGAAGTCATAGGAGAGCCTAGTGTCACTAAAATGAGCCTCGTCTTTAGTTGGAATCCGCACCTTGTTCTCACTGCTTTCGGCATATTTCCCAAACTTGTCAGTGTCTTTGAGGTGGTGATAACGTCTTCCAGGCGCTACGGTGGTAGTTTCCGCTGCATCCTCTCAACTCTTATGGAGTTGTTCCTGATGACCTTCATCGCCCCGATCACAGCTCTGGCTGTTGCGATATTTTTGTGTGGTCTACTTAGAGGCAAGGTCATCAAATGGGATGGACAGAACCGCGATCGGCTCGGTCTCAGCTGGCGCGACAGCTTCCGTGTTCTGTGGCCACAGACCATTCTTGGTTTGGCAGTTTTACTCGCTGCTCGAGGGACTGCTGAGCTGGCATGGGCTGTCCTATCAGCCGTTGGTTTTTTGTTTGCGATACCCGTTGCTGTACTCACGGCGTCGCCCCGTTGCGGGAATGCGATCCTTTCTATGCGCCTCTTTGAGATACCAGGAGAGACTGAACTTCCGCTCTTGTTGTCTAAGCTCATTCCATCAGGGTTTAAAGCGAAGAAAAGGAGTCGAGGAGTAAGGTGGTAGGTTGCTGAGGGGACAACTGCTTCGGTGCTTTGGATGCAAGGATTTACAGTCTATGGGGTCTAAGGGCGAAAGATACTCTTATCTCAATCATATTACGAAGCGTTTGTAAGGAAGCGCAGTAGAAACATTTATTACTCATTGCTTCAATCATACGCTCAAGAAAAATCGCAATTTTGCACCCCCTTTTGCACAACAATGGTATCATCCAAATCCAAGCCACCAACCCCTTCAAAGACCTTTTACTCCTTTTCAAACATGCTTAGCTCCATCATCAATGCCCTTGGAGGGGCCAAGAACTCTTTCCTCATCGTAGTCCTGGCTACTACCAGCGTCGTATGCGACGCGGATGTCATCAATCTCCTCTCCGACCTCCATCCACTTGTCGCTAGTAGCGGGGATAGGAGAGATCTTGCAGAGTCCCCAGTACACACCACCAGAAACGATGAACCCAGCGAAGAAGTTAAGGTTGTAGATGTATGTCGCGCCTACAGGGACATCGACGCCAATCGCACCGACGAATCCAACCACATTGGGCAAGATTCCGGCAATGTAGGCGGCATACCCGCGCCAGTGGAAACCGTAGGTGAAGAAGTACGGGCCAGTCTTGCGCGCATCGTAAAGCTCTCTGATTTCTAGATATCCCTTCCTGACAACGTAGTAGTCGGAACACATGACACCCGCGATGGAGCTTAGGAAGACGCTGTATGCCGACAGGTAGGTGGTGAACTTGTTGGAATCCGTGAGCAGGGTGTACGGGCACATGGCCAGACCGATCGCAGCGCAGATGTATCCACCGCGACGAATGCTCAAGTACCGGGGCAGCAGAGCCGTCATATCGGTACCGGCGGAAACGGAGTTGGCGGCAATATTGGTACCGAGTTGGGCCAGAGCAAACGCGAAAGCGATGACGAACACACCGAATCGCTGAGCGGAACCACCGTCGTCGATGAATCTCTCGAGGAGCTTGAGGGGGTCCCAAATCTCCTCACCGTAGATGACTGCCGAGGAAGAAGACACCATAATGCCGATGAATGAGGTGAACGCAAAGCCGATGGGAATCGTGAAGAGCTGAGACCACAGAGCATCGTTCGGCTTCTTGGAGAAACGGGAGAAATCGGGATCGTTGACGATGAGGGTTGCGAAGTTGGCGATGGACGACATGACGCCCTTGACGAATTCCCAGGCCAGGTCGCTGCCGTGAAGCTTTGCGGGCTGACGAACGATCGGACCGATGCCGCCGGCGCGGACAATGGCCCAGATCATGAAGGCGATTCCAGCGCATGGGACGATGTACGACTTGACCGTGAACAGATGTCGGATCTTGTGGACGGGAAACCAGATGGCGGGCAACGAAAGCACCCAGAAGAGGAAGAAAGACACCCAATCAGCGGTAGTAGTGCCGGAAGATGCAGAGAAAGTGTTCGGGATCGTCTCTCGGTCCTGTTTCGCATTAGGTTTGAAGCTTCCTAGGCATTCTGGAGCAATTGCTACTCACCCAAGACTTCCAGATGGAACGGATCATCAGGTAAACGCAGTGGCCGCCGATATAGGCCTGGACACCGTACCAAACACAAGCTGGGATTGATCAGCGAAGCTCAACATTGGGAAGAAGGCATCCGGCTTACCCATGGCGGCGCGGTTGAAAACAGGCCACAAACTTCCCCAGATCCCGAAAGACGATCTGTTGACGACGGGAAAACCAATGTGGTACACTGCACCGATGCGACCAGTCATGCAGATGAAGCATCCAGCAATTGCGTAGCCGATCCAGACACAGAGCCAAGACTGCCACCAAGAAAGACCACCCACAATCATGGAGGACGAAATCATCCATGTGTTGACGTTGAAGGAGTCAGCGACCCAGAAAGCGACGAAGTTCCAAGGTCCCCATTGCCGTCTCTCAGGCTCAACTCTGTCTTGAGGTCAGTCACCATGCTCTTGGAGGTGTCGCGTGCGCTTTTTGCAGTGGCAATGCTCACGGTTTGAGATCATGGTTCGTCAGCTGTAAAGTAAGAACGTTAGAACGGTTTCGGGTGGCTCAAGAAATTTTCGACTGGCAGATCTTCTCTTACCATCAGCTGAGCGCTGGTCAACCCAGGCTCCGATTTGACAGCGATCTTGTCCGCCAAGTAACCCAGTCTTGAGCCATGGGCCTTTTCCGGGCGAGCGGTAGTAGTTGCAGTATCCATGTCCATTTTGGCGACTCTCTCTGACGGAAATGGACTTTGGCAAGACGTGTCGAGGGGTGAAGTCCGGGACTGTCGTGGTGACTTTCGGATGATTTCGATTCGGCGAGTTGTCGAAACACCAGTACACGGACCGGCACAGGTTGCGATGACGATATGCACGTGAGGACGAGACGGGGAACCGAAAGACTGGGCTGCAGAGTGACACGGGTCGTGATCTGCAGGATGACACCCCAAAGTAGTGGCGATACCAAGGCAGTCAAGTCTGGTCGTTCGGTTGAGGGTGGGAAAACTCCAGCTGATCTCTCTCAGACAAAGAAGCGAGGCCGAGATGATGGAGGAGATGTCGACTGATATTTATTCACATGCTGGGCCGGTGTCGCTCTGGATATGGAGAGGCTGATAAAAGACCTCGCCAGTTCCACGGAAACGAGTCGGCGGTACCTTGGTGTCAGCGATTATCGACTGATGGACCCGGAAATCGCTGCGACAAACCCCCACATGGGACAAGCGTGACAAGCTCTTCAAGGTCGTCGCCTCCATCTTTTCCATCCCGCTGGCGCTGGGCAAAGGAGGAGGAGACGATTGGGGAACCGGAATGCAGACGGGGGGGGGGGGTGACAAGCCCAAGAACGCAAGACAAGACGACGCTACGAACCGCTTTCAGACAAGGGTGCTGCCGGTCTCGCCGTGATTGCAGCAAATTGAAATGCTCCCAAGTCGACAACGACGTCAAATCTGATCGAGTAAGAGGACGAAGCCCTGGCACCGGAAACCATAAAAGCTCTGGTCCTTTGGACGCATTCCGCGGCTCTCATTGGTTCGTCCCAGAAGAGAAAATGTTCTTATCAGGGGCGTTGGAGGTGGCACCGCGTTAGTACGGCGACGAGGAACGGCTCCCGCTCATCAACGACGCACCATGATGCCTGTTCGGCATGGGACGGTGCGGCTATGTATGATAAGTTAGCTCTTCTGACAGGGGTAGCTTATCATAGATGGCGCCCAAACCCCGCATGTTATCCATTACTCGATCTCATCGAGTCAACCACCAAAATGTGCGACTCGCGGCATGATATCGATCGCCTCACGCAGCCTCAAGATACCCGACATCCAACATGATGAACTAGAAAAGTTTCTTCGTATCACTTGGCTTGTCTTTTTTCAAGATCTTTCTTTCATGTCGTCGTCAGTCGCAAATTGACGTGGCAGTCTCACACCAGATTCCTAAGGCCACAAGGTCAGCACGCTGCAAGAAACTGGACAGAATAGATCGTTCATCGGACCCGAATTGATGTCAAGGTCAACTACGTGCTCGTGAACCAAAAATTTCCATCTAATAAATCATGATGTTGCCTCGTAAATGCCATCATTGTCCGCTTGTCTGGGCTTCGAACAGCTCGCGTGCTAATTAGCATTCCACATCTTCGGTACCTGGGGCTCGGAACCATTCCCAAACCAAACTTTTGCCCTGCAGCCACCGGTACTTCTTGGTCGACGGGTCCCTGATAAGACGATGGCTGGAATATCCGTACCGCATGAAGAGCGAGATAAGAACTAGGAGAAGCGAACCTTTGGTCCCACTCGCTTCACACGGCTGAGGGATCTTCACCCCGTTCGATCAACACACCAACTCGTTTCCACTTATCTCCAGACGTTCCCAAGCCCCCCCCCCCCCCCAATCTCTCCCAGACGGCTGACGCGACGGTAGAGTGTACACTAGACACTCGAGACATCTCCCTATCTACAGGCTGGACGAGCCCAAATAGGGTGCTTCTCACTCCCTAGGTGCCGGTCTTGGTTGCTAAATGTGAAATATTTAGGCGCTGATTCCCGAATGGCACTAACAAACCATGATAAGATGGTGGCCGCCGGCGCAGAATGCTCAATTTCTCACTTAATTCAGCCGCAGCTGCGATCGCAGGACTGGCATGTCGCCCCAGGATCGCGTAGAGTCGTTACTCTGACGGTACTTTCTGATAGATATTCTCTGGTGAAATCTCACTGGACAGGGTAAGACAGCACCTTACATGTGATGTTGAAAGAGAGATCTATTCACCTTGGGGCCAGGTGGCGCGCTGCGTCACGAGCCGTCGGGAAGATTTGAGCATGGTCACCCTAACAAAATACTGAAGGGCGACCGCGCCGCCGGCCACAGCAAGGTTTCGGCTGCGGAGATGGCATTTCCAGCGCCACTATCTTTTTCGTGGCTGACAGCTGTGACAGTGGCTAGTGCACAGCAAGTAGATGTTCTGGATTCGTGCGGCAACCAACACCCTACGTTCTATTTGTGTTCTGGATCAACCAACTATCCGGTTCTGCCAATTTGAACGACATGATTTAGTGGGAGAGAAGAGCTACTTTCCGAGTCTCTTGATTACATGCTACGAAAAGCGAATTTGGGTGTCTAGGCTTACCCAGTTGTGCATGCCTCTGCCTGCCAGTCCGCCTCTTTGTTTGCTTCGTATTAAGGTACACAGGTGCCATTCTGTTGTCCTCAATCATACGCAGCCAGCTATGGCCCTTTACTTCCGACCTTTGGATTACAAGACAACATTACATCAATATACTCAGCTCGTTTTCGACCGACGGCCCTTCCAAAACGAATAAATTTGAGGAACACTGAACACAACTAAGGTAGCTGAGAGTTACGCCGATAAATCCGTTCTCAACACGAGGTAGTAGTCAAATTACCTTGTTCTGTAATGCCTCATTTTCACATATCGATCATTCCTTCTTACTACACACAGCTTGCATCACTTCATGGGACGGTCTCCTTTACTTCATGACACATGCCAAAGAAAGAGAGACCCAAACCCCTCTGGTCATATTCCCAACAATGGTCGGTTCGCGGGTTCCTCTATCGTGACAGTTCCTTCAGCGTTGGTGCTCAAGCCTGATTACCAATAGGAGATCTCAGATTTCTCAGGCAGCAATGTTCGTGACGAATGGATTCCTCAGATGATCATGATTGCCAAGAGCTAGTGCCAAATTCGCAACAGCCTGTAGTTAACCATGGCTCACTTTAAGCTCGGTCTGTGAGTGCGGACGACAATGATTCAACAACGCGCTGCCCAAGGGTCGACAGCAAGAATTTTGCGATCAAACTTCTAGAGGATCAAGTTTGACTACATGTTACTACTGCACACTAGGTATTTGCGCCTTGATCTAAGAAAGGGGGGAAACACGATTTCAGGTAGGACCAAGGAACCCGCGTCGTAGCGAGATCTGGAGATTCCACTCAGCCATCCTCGAGTACCTTAAGTCAAGGAATCGGAACGCAAGAAAGTCTCTGGAAAATTATCCAAGATTCTTCCAATTTAACGACATTGATTGATCGCAACCTACATCTGTCAAAGAAACACTTCAAGACGAAAGGGAGTTAGCATTAGCACCAAACTCTCGAAGGTCTAGTATATTGGCCTTGACATCCATTTCTTTAGGCTCATTTCTAAAGGAACTGGGACATATGACCACAAGCTTTCGGGTCTCGTGATTTAAATGCTACTTTGTCAAGTAGGTCAAATGGACGTGTGGAAAGTCGAACTGCCCTCTTTCAAGTTTCCACACATTGTCGATAGGTTGACACGTATGATGGCAAGAATTAGGGTTTAGAAGTTCCCGAAGCAAGAAGGTGGCGTTACGGAGGATTGTAGAATGATGCAGAGTTACCAACCAGAGTCAAGCCCTACGAGTCGTCGAATCCCAAGTCTATGTCAGTGATGTTCCTTCATTCGTGGCAAACATCATTGATATGTGGTGGCGGCTGCCTGGGAAGCCACACCCAGCCGTTCTCTAGCGGCCGTTGCCTGCGCTAATTTCTGACCTGAAGCTTGGTTATCGTTGTCCCTCTTGCATTCCGAGGGGCTGGGTTGCTGGAGTGGCTGATATTCTGTCCAGTAAAAAGGGGATATGAATATGCACAACATAGCGGTATCCCTTTCCAGCCCTCGGTAGGACATAATAAGAAACTTGCAGCGGTCATGGCATAGGTAAAGTAGACTTATCTCAGATTCTATCCAATTGATTCGAGGTTTGCGTCGCATGTCGCTATTTTGCAGGGCCGACTTAGAAGAGAAGAGGGGTAGTCTCTCGTCCTCCCGTCATAGGCGACAGAGATACACGTCTGCGTATCCCTTGGTTTCCCCCAGCAGCTTGTTGAATATCAGAGCAGTTCCCGCGATTTCCGTCTTCCGGAATTAGTCCATCTGTCTTCCTAGTTCCATATATCATACATACTGCTAGCGTTTAAAGTTGCTTTCTGTTCAACAGCATGGGTGTCGCGTGTCCCGGTGCAAGCCCTTGTCGGCCCATTTTCCGAATTATGCTCAGTGCCTTTCTCATTGCCGTACATGTGGCCTATGCGCAGGAATGCAACTATGCCGGCGGCTGGTCGCTTCGATTTCCCAGTTCTTCCTGTCCCCAGGATGCCCCCTTTGAATGTGGAAAAGCCGGAGGACTCCAGGTTCGATGCTGTCCCTCAGGGCTGTCGTGTGCGGGCAACGGCAGTTACGATGGGAACTACTGCTGTCCAGGTTCGTGAACACATCTTGATACCTTTTACTCAATATCATCTGCTGACGCTTGCCGTTGTATTAGATTCCACAGACTGCTCCTCCTCGGCGTATAATCACCCCAAGGTACCTCGCGCCGTTCCCCAGTGCGATACACCGAGACGAGTATCGTGCTAACAACCCAGTGTCCTGATCCGACTTGGAGTATGTGGGTAGCCAACGATACTGTCAACGACAAGCCGGATACTGGCGCGTGGTGTTGCAAGCCAGACTACAAAGGCGTATATCGAGATAACGGCACCGCCAACTACTTCTGTACGGCAACAAGCATCTCCACTCTTCAGCTTAGCTACTACTGGGCACATATGCTTACTACCACAACATCGTGCTCTTTGACTGCAACGCCGGCTGGTCTATCAATAGCTACATCTGCACTTCTGTCCTCGACTACATCCAGTGCAACGTCTGCTGGTACTGGAACAGGCGCAGCATCCAGCACAGGCACTCGATCTGAGTCGACTAATGCATCATCCCCGGGCAGCAAAGAGCAGGCTGGCATCCCAGTCGGAGTCAAAGTTGGAGCAGCTGTCGGATGCGTGGCCGGCGCCGCACTGATCGTCGCAGTTATCCTCTTCATCAGAAAGAGGAAGCAAAAGACGATAGAGGGAGTTACGTTGACTGGGGACACGGAAGAGGGACGGGGCAAACCTGAAGCCCAATACTTTCACAAGGGAACTAGGCGACCTAGTGAGCTGGGGACATTTGAGCGAACCGTCGAGCTAGATGGTGCTAAACCGACGTATGAGCTTGACGCGACGAGGAAAGAAGACCAATATGACGTTGTGTCTCCGATGAGTATGCGGCCAGGCAACTAAAAGGCGTCATAGACAAATTAAAGATGATGAACAGCAAGATATATCCATAGCCTTGATCCAAGTGGGTTGTTTGGGATGTTGCATTGAGAAGTATGGTCCTTCCGTACAGTCATTAATACATGGATTCCTGTCTCATGGTGGAAGGGTTGCCGGAGGCTGAGCTACATTCACGGATAGTCAACTGGCCGGGCTAATATTCGATTATGTTTGCCCATTTCAACAGTAACAATTACATCAACGCCGTCTGTTCATGGACTAACTCGGAGTAAGTCCTGGCTTAAACCAAGCAGACTTTAATGAACGAGTGGTAATGCCTATATGTAACTTCAGGTTTCTACAGAGGTTGGCAATTCGTGTAACTGATCTCTGGCGGCGAACATGAATCTGACATACCTTGTGAGCCTACAATCGCCCGCATGTACGCAAAACTTTGTTCCCCAAGACTCCACGATGCGAGTGAGGCGTTTGGCAACAACCCTGATGATCACAAGCAAAAGATTGATCAGTGGGAGGCTTGAACTCCCGACCTTGGCATTACTCAACATTTCTGATGAAATATTAGTACCACGCTCTAACCAACTGAGCTAACCGACCAGCTGTTATTGTTATCTTGGTTGTGGAAGTGAAGCCGTAAGACCCCACCGCGGCCAGCCCGCAACGTGGACATCGTGAGATTGGGGGATCCACTGTTGATGGAGTCAACCTTGAGCTTATTCGCTTCACTGGATGGAGACCAGATACTCTGAGAGCTTGGCTTGTCTCTGAAAATGCAGCGCTTGACGTTCGGGAGTTTTGTTATTTTGCACATCTACCTATGCCCAGTCTACCTATCCCATCGAGTGCGGATGGCGTCAACGAGTGGATCCCCGCATGTCATCTTTTCCCTCAGTTCTTCATGTAGGCTTTTGGTTCGTGTATCTGAGGCTGAGGGACATAAATGCGGAAAGGATGTTTTCTACTCAGTGACAACATCTACTGAGACAATTCCGCGCTCAATGGGACACTTCCAACGAGATCAATGTTGGGTAAGAAAGTATTCAAAGTATTCATGTCATGTCTACTTCATCTGAGTCTAAGGCGGCGTGGTGTACCCCCAGAACGCCCATTGCCGTGGATTCGTTCCCTTTGGCCCGTTCCGGTACACCTTGGTATTCGAAAAGCTTTTTATGGTTTCAGGTCCCAACGGCTTTGCAGACTTTCAAGGGTCTTACATGGTCTTAGCCATGACCCTCCGAGGCTGAGGAAACCATCATGCTATCTCCAATGACCTTAGTGGTCGCAAAGGTCCCATGGGAACAGATATATAAGCCCGGCTTCTTTTTCATAATTGTCCTCAGATTCTCTTACCAATGCATCCTCTCTTGTATTTCATCTCAGAATCTCAGAACACACCATTCACTCATCCACTCGTTCTCAGATTCTCAGACAACTCTACTCCAAGCTCATATCACATTCATCACTAACACCACCTCACCCTACCAACACCCACCAAGCGACTCAAACAACCCAAACGTCATCATCATGCAGTTCTCATCTCTCCTCGTTCTCACCGTCGCTGCCGTGACCAGGACGGTCTCAGCCAAGGGCGGCCCAGCCAAGATCTCCATCCCCCCCTCCGCCAATCCAGAACTCTGCCTCAAGCGCCTCGCCACCTTTCCCAACCGTCAGATTCAGCGCGCAGACTTCCTCGGCGGCCGCTGCATTCAGGCCCGCACCTACAAGGGCAGGTTCGGCCCTTACAATGGCGACTTCTTCTTCGAGGCGTGCTGTACCGACAAGGACGGCAACTTTGGCGAGCCTACGTATGTTAACGTTGACGAGTGCGTCATCTTTGACCCCGTCAAGGGCGTGCTCGGGTGGAACAATCTCAACGAGAAGAAGATTCGCGATCACTGCGGCATGTGTACTGTAGGCAGCTCTCTTGTGCCAAAGGACGGGTTGCCTGCTGGCACCTACTTGACCTGCGACTGTAAGAAGGACAACGATGAGGTGGTCCAGGCTAAGATCTGGTTGGGAATGGATCTTAATGATTCTAGGAAGCCCAAGGATGAGTTTTGGGTGAATGATGGGGGCAAAATCACCTGCCACAAGCAACAGAAGCAGCAGAAATAGGATGCTTGCTGAGCTACTGGGGAGTCATCAGGATCAAGATGATTCTGCGTACGATAGAGCGGGGAGTGTATGATCTTCATCGACGATACAGCACTTCATGGATTAGGGCAGCAAGGATCTCCTCTACCAACACTACCACCACTCAGCGTAGGAGGCCTGCGTACAACATGTACCGAAAATGACGAGAACGACATTGGAGATCCAGGGTGATGAGGAGAGATGCGCTTGAGCAGGGATGGAAGCCTATTGCGCCAAGCTACCTTAGTCAAAAGCAAAGCGTTGGGGAGGTTGCTTGACCGATAGAGCTTGATTAATGGGGAGGTCGAGCAAACACAAACAACAGCCACAGGCCCCTAGAGATGGACTGCTGTAAACAACATTAAGCGTTCAAGGCGTTATGTGGGTAACACATCGTTGCATTCGGCTGATACCCAATAAAAGCTCACTGCATCCTCCAGAAGTGCCATCAATTGATGAATGTGTTCATATTGTTCATCGTGCGTCGTGCTTGTGCCTGGCGTTTCCCTGTTTCCAGACTCAAGGTACGGATAAGTCGGGAAACATGATGATATCGCTATTGATGCTCGCTCTATTCGCACTCATTCCATACTTATAGATTTGCGTTAACTCGCGGCTGCGTGAATTCCCATCGCAGGCTGCAATGAGGTGGTGAGAGGTTTCCAATGTCGGAACCCCATCTGATGTCGTGAGACCAGCGCCGTTTTAACCAAGACATCTTTATCGAGCATTCTCACATGATGAGATAAAAGTTAAGCAGAGGCGCAGTGTCCACCGTCGACACGGAGGTCTGCACCGGTCATGAAAGAGCTGCCTTCGGACAGGAGGAAGACGGCCGGGGCCTTGAAGTCCTCGGGTGTACCCAGGCGCTGGAGAAGGGCTCCCCTCATCCAAGTTGTCTCAACCTCAGGCTCGGCCTGCAGAAGCTGATCGGTCATTGCGGTCCGGATGTACTGCAAATGGGTCAGTTGTGATACACGGTGATGGTGGATGTAAAGACTTACACCGGGCGACAGTGTATTCACACGGATACCATATTGGCCCCATTCCTGAGCGACAGACCTACACATCTGCTGAACAGCGGCCTTGCTAGTATTGTAGGCACTGCATGTCAATCCCTGTCAAGGAGTGTTAGTCCAGAAGTCCTTACAACAATCCAAGCTCAAACGTTGGGGTGTTGTTCAAGACTCACTCTGTTGGCAATCTCTCCAGACATGCTAGAAATAAGCAAGATGCTGCCCTTGCTCTTGCGCTTCACCAACACGCGAGCGGCGTGCTTAGCCGTCACAAAGACACCAACGACATTGACCTTTTGTATCCGCTCAAAGTCGGCAACGGGGTACTCAAGAGCAGGTATCTTCTGCTGGATGCCAGCGCAAGCGACAGCGCCCCAGAAGGGAGCACCGCGGCTGTCGGCGGCGTCTGCAATCTCCTCAAAGACCTTTTCCGTAGCCTCCTCGTCGGTGATGTCGCATCTGTGATATGAGATGGAGAGGTTCTTGGAAGTGGCGAGCTTGGTGAGGTGCGCCCACTCAATGGGTGAGGGCTCTGGGAGGATATCGAGACATGCAGCGTGGCCTCCGGCTTCGAGGATGGCAAGAGCAAAGGTGATGCCCAGGCCGCGGCCGCCGCCGGTGATGACGATGGTTTTGTTGGCGAGGGAGAAGAGTTGAGGTGTTGCGACGGAGGAGGCGAGAGGGTCCTTTGCTTCGGGGAGGGGATGGACGGGCTCCGCGGGGAGGTCCATGTCGCTTACGGCTACGGGAGGCATGGTGGATGAAGTATTGGGTATCTTTAGTGAAAGGCGAACGAAGAAGAAAGTATTACAATAGGTGCGTTGCTATGAAGGCAGACTACGGCTCATGTATGAGGTTGAAAGTTGAATGAGGTGAAGGTATACTAAGTATGAGTAGAGAGAACTGATGGTAGGAGTCTCGAAACACGGGAGACATTGTGGTCACGGGTTGGCTATATGAGGGATACTGGACAGTCGGGAAGTACGGGGCAAACGGGAGAAGACACGAACGAACGGGCGTCGCTTGGAGTTGTGTGAAGCGTGCGAAGCTGCGAGATGCCGGCCGAGCCTCGACCATTGAAGGTCCCGTTGCGCCGGGGCCCCAGACTGGATGTTGTGTGTATTGAGAAGTTAGGAAATCTTGAGACGGCCTTCGGCATTGAGTCCGCGCGGAGAGAGAAGATGGAGGGGTGTAATGGGGAGGGGGGTGGGAGGGCAAGTGGAAGCGCTTCTTGGCGGGACGCGGACGCCAGATTGGCAGATGGCGGGGTGAAGGGTGAACATGGGGGGCCGAGGAGAAGAGGTCGGCAAGCGTCCGAGTGGAGGGGCAGAGAGACGAAAGGAAACAAAATAAGCATGGCACGAAGGGAAAGTTTGGCATTTGCTTGGGATTTCAGGGTCTCGACTGGACTGATGGGCCTGCGGCAGAGGTGAATCGTGATGGGTTCGTGGATAAGGTTTCGGCGGCTATGGTTGTATGTGAAGCCTCAAGAGTCAAGAAAAGTTCCATGGAGATTTGCAAAATACACCGGGCCCATCAGAGCCCATTGTTTCGACACAGAGGCAGTTTGGGCCGCAGATGGAACGGTTCAAACTTGAGAGAAGGCCGAAGCGATGGACAACTATCTCAAGGGACGGCAATGGGAGCCGGCAGAGTGGGCATTGTGGAAACTCATAGCTTAGGTTGTGAGAACTGAGAACTGTTTGCATTCTTCCTTTGGTGGGGATCTTGAACTTGTTTATTGAGTAAGACTGGGTCATCCAAACCAGCAAAGTCTTTGAGACTGTCGAGGATCGTCAACCTGGAGGGACTGGACGACTTGAACTCCGTAAACTCTGGAGGATGGACGGGGAAAACCGCGGGTCTTTTGGCGGGGAAGAAGGGCGAGACGGTGAGTGGCTAGGGCCGATTATGTAAGATATCCTTGTACTTTCGTAGTGTGGCACGTGTCCGATACGTACTACAGCGGCGCTTCGAATGTCCAAAATCGTCAAGCACGGGCCAAGGCGGGGACGAACTAAAGGCCCGCACTTTAACCGCTTCATCCAATCATCAACCCCCTCCCCTTCCCCCTCAGAGCTACTCAGTCGCCCGAGCCTTCGGCATTCTTCCCTCCTCTTTTTTTTTTTTTGTTTTTTTTTTGCGGTTATTCATTTTGCCCACCTTACCTCATCTTGGCTTACTCGCAACAAATCGTACACATCAGTCTCATTCAGAATTACTTATTTTCTGTTTCAATCTCAACTTTCATGGAAGCTTCCCATCGTCCGAGTATCTCGTTGCGCTTCTGCTAACCCTGAAACCAAGACTGGCACGCAATACGTACAGTCTCTAGAAGTCTAGCCACGCTTCCTCAGACTAAATCTCAGCTTCGTCAAGTGACACTGGAGCTGTTCTTCTGCCGAGTCCAATGTCACCCCAGAAGGGAAAACCTAAGCGCTACTTTCCTTATACTGCACTGCTTCGCATTGCTGGCCATCCCACTCTCCATCCCAAAGCGGTCATCTCAACCACGCAGAGGGGTCTCAAGTTGCACCGTTGCCCACGATTATATCTGTTGAAATGGCCGCAATGAAATGCTCTCCGTCTTTGTCTTTGCTACCTCATCATCTCTTGCCAGAATTGTTCCTTGATTCCCAAGCAAGAGAAACTCATTGATACCAAGTGCTTCTTTGCATCCTCCTTACGATTGCGTCACGTATTGCCCTTACTTTTCGTTCACTATACCGAGCACAGTCGACCAAGAAACCTGACGGCCAACTGCTACTGCTACCCCTCATAACCACAAAACCGAGACACCTTCACTCCTTAATAACCCGTCGACACATCAAAAATGGCTCCTAGTGCAGTTCCCTCAGAGCCCGTGGCTCAGGGCATCGTGGCCGCCAAATCTCTTAATGGTCCCAACAGCCAGTTCCAACTCACCGAGTCCGAGAAGAAGGAGGTCGATTTCGTTCTCCGCACATTCCGCTGTCTCATTGCCGATTTATGTGAGCAATTCAAGGGTGGCCACCCGGGCGGTGCCATGGGCATGGCAGCCATCGGCACATCTCTCTGGAAGTACGCCATGAAGTACTCGCCCAAGAACCCAAACTACTTCAACAGGGACCGTTTCGTCTTGTCCAACGGCCACACCTGTCTGTTCCAGTACAGCTTCCTGCACTTGACCGGCTACAAGAACATGACTATGGAACAGCTCAAGTCATACCACTCCGCCCGCACCGACTCCATCTGCCCCGGCCACCCCGAGATCGAGCATGAGGGTATCGAGGTGACGACCGGCCCGCTGGGCCAGGGCATCGCCAATGCTGTTGGTCTGGCTGTTGCTACCAAGCACCTCGCCGCTACCTACAACCGTCCCAACTTCCCCGTCGTCAACAACATGACATGGTGCATGATCGGAGACGCCTGTCTGCAGGAGGGCGTTGCCATGGAGGCGATCCAGCTCGCCGGTCACTGGAAGCTGAACAACCTCGTTGTCATGTACGACAATAATCAAATCACCTGCGACGGCAGCGTTGACCTCTGCAACACCGAGGACGTCAACACAAAGATGCGCGCCTGTGGCTGGAACGTCATTGAGATTGAGGACGGCAATTGGGACCTCGAGGCCATCGTCCGTGCCATGGACCAGGCTCGCAACAGCAAGGACAAGCCCACCTTCATCAACATTCACACCGTCATTGGAGTTGGCAGCGCCGTTGCTGGTGATGCCAAGGCTCACGGTGCCGCGTTTGGTGCCGCCGACGTCGCTAACATTAAGAAGACCTTTGGCATGGATCCTGAGAAGCACTTTGTTGTGTCGGACCAGGTCTATGACTACTTCCGCCAGGCCGTGTCCCGCGGTGAGAAGATCGAGGCCGAGTGGAACCAGCTCGTTGAGGGATACTCTCGTGAGCACCCGGAGCTCGCTGCTGAGTTCAAGAAGCGTATTTCTGGAGAATGGGTCGACGACTGGCGCAAGTTCATCCCCGCCAAGGAGGACTTCCCTACGACTCCTACTCCTTCAAGAAAGTCTGCAGGTTTGGTCTGCAACCCCATCGCTGCTGGTGTGAACAACCTGATGGTCGGTACTGCGGACTTGTCTCCCTCGGTGAACATGATTTGGAAGGGCAAGGTTGATTTTCAGAATGTAAGTAGATGATGATGGCGCTTCTCTCACGGATGATACTGACAATCCTTAGCCCGACTTGAGAACTTCTTGCGGCATCAACGGCGACTACTCTGGCCGCTACATCCACTACGGCATCCGTGAGCATGCCATGGCTTCCATCTCCAACGGTCTGGCTGCCTTCAACAAGGGCACCATCCTCCCTGTCACCTCTAGTTTCTTCATGTTCTACATCGTAAGCTCTCTCTCCTTCTCTTTCGAGCGCTCCTCTTCAAATCTATCTGCCAAACTTCCGGATGTGTTCTGACCTATCTCATTAGTACGCCGCCCCTGGTGTGCGTATGGGTGCCCTCCAGCGCCTCCAACAGATTCACATCGCGACGCACGACTCGATCGGAACCGGCGAAGACGGCCCCACCCACCAGCCCATCGCCCTGCCCGCCCTCTACCGCGCAATGCCGAACCTCCTCTACATCCGACCCTGCGACAGCGAAGAGACGGCCGGCGCCTTCATCCTGGCCATGGAGGCCAAGGATGCCCCCACAATCATCTCCCTCTCCCGCCAGAACCTCGAGCAATACCCCAAATTCTCCTCGCGCGACGGCGTGCAAAAGGGCGCCTACGTCTTCCAGGAGGCCCAGGACGCCGACGTCACCCTCATCGGCGTCGGCGCGGAAATGGTCTTCGCCGTCAAGACGGCCAAGCTGCTCGCGGAGAAGCACGGCATCAAGGCCCGCATCGTCAGCTTCCCGTGCCAGCGCGTTTTTGACCAGCAGCCGATTGAGTATAAGCGCGAGGTGCTGCAGTATCGCTCCAAGGCTCCGCGTGTCGTAATTGAGGCCTACGCCGTCAACGGGTGGGAGCGCTACGCCGACGCCGGCTATTCGATGAGCACTTTCGGACACTCGCTTCCCGGCCCCGACGCGTACAAGTACTTTGGCTTTGACGAGGCTGTCATCGCACCCGAGGTCGCCAAGCTCGTCGAGGAGGTTAGAGCAAACGGGGTCAACAGCCTCAGGGGCGAGTTCCGCGACCTTAACCCTGTTCACCACCACTAAGACGTCATCATTCATGAATCATCTATAAAAGCCCCTTTTTAGATGAGGTGGTTCTATTGTTTTTCTTTTGACGGAAAAGTTTTGGATAGGGCGGGTTCGGTAACGGAAATGGGGGCACTAGCGGCGTTCAGGGCAATGTGGGAGAATTCGGCAGGCAACGGAATTGCATAGAACACGGATCACCCTTGATTCTCGATAATAATTGAGTGCGAAAGAGTCACGAATTTGTTCGTTTTTGGAAGTAAACAACGTGGACGCTGCAGCAGGCCCGTCAGCTGGTTGCATCCCGAGTCATTTGAGTGAACTGCTGTCGCATAGATGGCTCGCTGTGGGTGAGGTTTGATTGGGTTCATTTTGTGCGGTTGACGTGGTGAAGATCGCACTTTGGGGTTACATTTCTTATTGCTGCTTTCTCAGGTGAGATTTGAATGAGAGTCGGGTCCTAACGTATGAACTTGCAGACATGCGCCTCAACTCACTCTCATCTCGTCTTCATATCAATCTCTCGTACCTTACCCAAAACCGCAAAAGACAATTGTTTGGGAGCCCGAGGAAACCGAGACCGGCGGCGACGCTTAACAAGATCTTACTCAAATCCGACGGGAGGATCTGGAACGAGGGTGAGAAAAGCTTGAGGGTTGCTGTCGGTTCCTCTTGCTGACAGGGTGTGGGGGGTTTGTGGAGTGCTACTCCAACAATTAACACAACACCAAGCCTCAAGGACGAACTCATCCTTCACTTCCACGGTCAGTTAGACTGAGAGGCTAAGAGAGGATGGCGGGGTTGACGGGCGCGACGGGGAGTTCCCAAGGAGAGGAGCGCCACTCGTGACGAGGGCTGTTGGGGGCTTTTGGGGCTCACGGGGTGCAAGACTGTGCAGAGTTTGTCCCAAGTCGGAGCCAACAAGGATCCCCCATGCCGTCCCCGGGCCAATCTTCTTAGCTCTACGGCAGACGGCTACGGATAGACAGGAGACGCCAGTTTAGCAGAGTCCGTCCGACACCGCTTACAGCTTCCCCCAGACTTTCTCCCCGCAGAATCTCTCCCTCATGTGTGTGTCTCTTTTTTTCGTCTGTCTGCCTCCTGACATTGTCATTGTCAGGGTGCCATAGCTCCCTCAGCCACAGCCGAATACGCAGCCGCCCTCACGAGTCTTTATCATAATCAACGGCAGAGCAGAGAGTCAGTTGCGATCACATTGCTGTGAAGAGGCTGCTGCCATTGGGCATCAACAAGTCCATCTGAAGTTCGTTGACTGCATGTTGCCGAGCGCGGGGGTATAACGGACATATGGCTCTCGGCAGATGTGAATAGTAAACTCTGTTTGATATCACACATCTTGCGGACCGGGGAGCTAACGCAATCCCGCAAGATACCCTTTTCTCTCTTACTACCCTTCACTACCTTCAACGGCTGTCCTAAGTCCTGACTCCTGACCATTGGGGCTTGAGAGTTCACCGACGTGGCCCATATTATTTTGCCTCTCCTTGCCTTATACACATCCCATTTCGACCTACCTACTCACAGCCGCGCCCGCTCCTCCGCGGAAACGCATGTCGAAGCGCTTTTTGCTCCACGAACATCTCACATAACCTTTTCCCCTCTTTCAACCAGTTTCCCTTTTCTATCTCTTTCCAATTGTGGAGGGGGACATACCCCCGGCACCACCCGTTCTGCAGCGGATTCGTGTCAAGTTCCACCACACCGGAGAGTTGCCGCCGCTGCGCTTACGGATTGCGAATTCGGATGCCCGAGTCCAGACGGTCTAGACCACGCCCACAGCTCGTGCCGATGAGCTCGACTCCATCATGGCCGCCGATGACGAGACGCAACGCCAGCCGTCTCCCGTCGTCGACGATGACAGGGGCCCACGTTCCCCGACCAACCCGGCCATGGCAGCGGCCGATGGACCTCCGCCGGCAAAGAAGAAGAGGACCCGGACCCGGACGGGCTGTCTCAACTGTCGCCGCAAGAAGCGCAAGTGCGACGAGGGCCGTCCGGCCTGTGGTGGATGTTCAAGGCGGAAGGAGATTTGCGAATGGGGTATCAAGGTGACATTCCGGGCCGAGAACGCCCAGACGATATTGCAGGATCACCCGTCGATGAAGAAGGCTCGGCGGCCGCCTCCTCGTCGTCACTTTGAGATACTCGACGTCACTAGCGAGGTCATTCGCGACTACCACCTACCACCCGGCTTGCACGACTATGATTCGGATCGAGAGCTTGAACCTGATATATCGCCCATCGATAGCGGAACACACGGCCCGCAACACGAAGACGATGACGCAAAGAACTTTGACAGTCCCGTATCCTACACCACCTCCACAGCCGGCGGCAACACTACATCTGTTGCGGGATCAAGTACAGCAAAGAGGACATTATCCTCATCTGGCCCTAGCTCTGCGCCGACGGACCACGTTCCAATCCCGGGCTATGGCTCTCTTCTGACACCCTCGACACGGCGAGAGGATGCGTCGAGCGAAAAAGGACACCCGCCAACAGGCGACCGCATGGATCTCCAGGCTTCGCCCTCCTCAGCATCACAAGTCATCACCGACAGCGCTGTTGCAAATCTCATCTACCTAAGCCAGGGAGGCGCAGGCCAAGGTCCGCACGAGCTTCCCGTTTCCACCGTCAGCGGTCTTCCAGTCACGACCTTACCCATCGACCCTATGATGGATGCGCCGTTCGACTTTATGGACCAAATATTCACGCCCGAAGGCTCCTACGAAGATGGTATTTTCTTGCCGGGCTCGGCATACCACGAACTCCATTCTACGTTGCGAAACCATCTCATCCAAGAGGTTCGCTCCAATGGTCCTACGAGACCAGCTTCGCCAGCCTCTGGCCAGAACTCCAGACGGAGATCCATCGATGCCAGCTCTGGGCCTTCTTCGTCAAATGAGGCGGTCGAGACAGTTGGCGAGATATCTTCCGATCACGAGCCCCCTCATCTTCCACTGGAGGAGGAGTGCGCGCTATGGAAGAATTGGGTGGACGAGATCTCTCCCTGGCTGGACAAATTCGACAATCAGCGCCACTTTCAGCATTCTCTGCCAACAATGGCCCGGTCTCACGATCATTTGCGGTATTCTATGTTGGCTCTTTCAGCCCGACAAATGGAGCTCAAAGACAGGAGTCGGCCTACAGACCAGAGCCTGGCTCTTTATCAAGAAGCGATACACTTACTCTTACCTCAACTCCCGACACGGACAACAGCCGTTATAGCTTCATGCGTGGTACTCTGCGTTCTGGAAATGGCCAGCTGTTCCCCCAAAGCCTGGCGCAGACATCTCGACGGCTGCGCCAGTCTTATGGAGGCCGTCGGGATGAATGGCTTCGTCGGTGGCATCGAGCAGGCGCTATTTTGGTGTTTTGTCCGAATGGACGTATGCGGTGGCCTCATCTCGTCGGTCAAGACCTTGATACCCGTCAGCCATTGGGCATCACCTGTCGATCTCGAAACAGACGCTGGCTTATTCCTCACCAACCCCGGCCATGATATGTGGGCCAACTACGCAGTCTATCTATGCGCCCAGGTTCTCGACCTGCTTGCTCCACTAGCCAAGGCCAATCCAGGTGGACTATTCTTTGACGGGCCGAGAAATGACATGCGATATCGAGTACGATGGATGAAGCTTTGGAGATACGTCGAAGACTGGCACAGCCGCCGGCCATCCGAGATGCAACACATTATGTCGATACCCTCGTCGGACGCGGAACCCTTCCCGAAAATCTTGTACAGCAACCCTGCCGCCATCTCAGGGAATCAATTATACCACACGGCGTCACTCTTGATGCTGCAGAACCGACCAGCCTCGTTACGGCTATCGCCGAGGCCTCGGTCAGCGCTGTGGCACGCCAGGCAAATTTGCGGAATTTCAATGACTAATCACCACCACGGGGCGTGGACCAACAGTGTCCAGCCCCTTTGGATTGCGGGACGTTGCATGAGCCATCCCGCAGAGCATCGCGCGATACTACAATTACTAGAAAAGATCGAGACAGAGAGCGGATGGGGCACCAAGTGGAGGGCAGATGACCTGAAGGAGTTTTGGGGTGACTTGGGAGACGGTTAGTATCCCGGTGACGAACGAGACAAAGACTTTTCTTACGTTACGTTATGTTCTTCTCTTTCTCTTTCTTTTACTTTTATGATTTAAAGATGGAGTGAAGTGCTCTGACACTAAATCTCGTGTGAGCAGCTCTAGCCGCTCGGGAAGGCATTGGCGCAACGAGACCTCCACGTAACGCGTCAATATTCAGTGTCGGCTCTAGTATCGGATCAGCATCAAGTCTATGAAGAATACCTCGCTCGCGTGGCACTACCGTTACTACTGATACCTCATTACTTCAAAAAAACCACGCGACTCAGTCAAGGACCCGTCACAGTGGTTGACAGGCATGCGGTCTCCGAACTGCTGGAATCCGAGGCTAGCATCAAAGAACAAACAAGCGCCGCGCCCCTCCTCTCCTCCCACCATCCCCGCGGGTTAACAATCTGACGTTAGGATCCAATCTGGTCCGAGGAAAGCTGCCCCATGGGACGAGATTGGCGGGTCCAGATGTCGGGACAAGACGGTGTTCCAAGGTCAAAGGCGTGGGTCACCATCTCCACACTTTCCCTTCCCCCCCTCCCACCCTCTTCCATCCAGGAAGCTGCCCGCGAGTAACACTAACAATACTACGGAGACCAAGTACTCCGTAGCGGTTTACTGACGGCAGGCGGAAGCCTCCCCATGGTGCGGCGTTCATGCGGGTTTGCGGAGGAGTGACCAGGGACCGGCCGGGGTGAGACAAAAAGTACGAGGATGACCTCATTTCCCCGTCTCCTGCCAGGGATGGTTCGAGGGGTGAAATAAGCGCGGATGTTTTGGCGTGGTCTCGGTCCTAACAGTTACGCTACCCATGAGATGGCTGAGATGTACTTCCCTCGACAGGTGATGCGATCGGGACGGCAACCCGAGGCGCATTCGAGATGAGGTACCTTCAGATGTGGCTGATCAGATGTGGTTTTACGCGTCCCGGCAGTTGATGGACCACCACGTTGATTGCTATTGCACCAAGTTAGTTGGTGCTGCCACTGCGGCGTTCATCATCCCGCGGCAAGTAGATTTGTCCAGCCATCAAGTCACAGGGATCTTGCTCAGACGAGGAAGAGGAATACTCGTCTTTTCTTTGCTTGGACAGATTCGCATTGGCGACAAGACCGGAGAAAAGTCCGTCAAGGGTTGATGGATGAGGTTTGGGGCCATGGGGTGTGTGGCAGGTCGAGCCGCAAGCCTTGTCTAGCGGCTGAGCGGCAACTTGCTTGCTTTCTTCCTGAACAGGGCGCTACGAGTGGCTTTTCCTGGAATATAAAAATAATTATGGGAGGGCGTCGACGCCGGCTTGGAAAGACACGCAAAGGGAGTCTTATTCAGCCCTGTCTGGTCGGCCGTTGTTGGCTTTACGCCTCGGAGGGGGCCGGAGCACCGAAGAGGCACAGAAGAGGATGGACGGGTGAAATCCCACCGGTCGCAGTGAAAAACAAAAAAGCGCTTTCAACTTCCTTGATTTTCCTGCAGAAGGCAGCTCCACGCATCTTTGCGCCATGGCCCAAACTCGGCGATTTCCACCCTTGTCCCTGTCCGTTTAGTCTCTTAAGACTCTGACCCCTCCGGCAATAGCCCCCCGGATTCGGAGCCGGAACCTTGGCTTTTTCTCCCAGAGTCCCAAGTAATTGCGTAAAGCAAACAAGCCTGTCCGGGGGCTGGGCGAGAAGACGGTTCCGCCTGCATATAGGAAATGCATACAACGTTGTTCGTAACCATATACTTCCTAGTCTCTAATACCGGTAGAAGAGGGAGGCTAAGAGGGGGGAAAATCTTTCGCGCCTGCATCCCGGAAACTCGCGAGCTTGGAGCAAATAGGACAACGGTACTCTGCTCAAAGTCTGCCCCGTCGCGAGTCATTTGGACAACCATTCTCACCCAACTATGCGCGTCCAACTGCCCGCAGAAACTGTAACCAGGCCAGCGACAGTATCCCAAGTACAACCCTCCTGGTCCTCTTCACCCCATCAGCATGTTGTTTTTGGTTTGGCTTAATCAACCTCCGCGTTGGGGTCCCCGCATTGCGGTACTCTTTGTGGGGGGAGAGAGAGACTCTCCTCTCCCATAGTCAAGGTGGGAGAAGATGTAGCCGACTTGACACACTTGAGTCTCTACAAGGTTTTGCAGTAATCAAATGACGTTGTTTCGAACGACGGGAAGAAGAACAGACTGGCCAAGAAGAGATTGGAGCTAGCGGCTGCAGTGTACCCTTTTTCTCCTTCAACACCAAAGACTCTTTTCGTTTCTTTTGCGTGGCATGCTTGGATCTGTACATATAGAACCGCGTTCCCCATCCATCGTGAAAACAAAAGGGGTCCGTTCTTTGTCCACCTCCCTGGCCTCGAGTCATCTCAACAATATTTTATTTCCCTTTTGAGTCTCATCTCGCGATCCAGCCCCAATCGCGTGAGGTGATTTCCATCCTTATAGCCGCATTTCCCTCATCATTTCTCCAATCATACACCCCGTTCATCATGACCATCCTCGTCGGAAGGCCTCTCAACTGGGCCATCACGGCCACGGCCGGCTCCGGCTTCCTCCTCTTCGGCTACGACCAGGGCGTCATGTCCGGCCTACTCACCGGCTACGCCTTCACCCGGACATTCCCCGAAATCGACACCACCGACGGCGGCGGCGGCAGCTCCTCGCTGCAGGGCACCGTCGTGGCTATTTACGAGATTGGATGTTTCTTTGGTGCCATCTTCTGCCTCCTCGTCGGAGAAAGGCTCGGACGTCGCAAGTGCATTATGCTGGGATGCATTGTGCTGAGTATCGGTGCCGCGCTGCAGGCTTCTGCTTTTGGGATCCCGCAGATGATTGTGGGACGTATCGTTGCTGGACTTGGTAATGGCATGAACACTAGTACTATTCGTGAGTCACCTTTTCATGACTTCCTCATCATGGTTAGGGATGACGCTAATCCCCGGCAGCTGTGTGGCACTCGGAACTCATGAAGGCGGATAATCGCGGCAAGGGACTTGCTATTGAACTAGCCATCAATATCTTTGGCGTCATGTCCGCATACTGGGTGGACTACGGCATGAGCTACGTCTCCAACGACGCTCAGTTTCGCTTCCCTCTCGCCCTGCAGATCTTGTTCGCTCTGGTTACCTTCTTCGGAATCCTGGTGTTGCCCGAGTCTCCCAGATGGCTCATCGCCCACGACCGCCACGATGAGGCTAAGCATATCCTCTGGGCGGTGGAGAAGGATGCTACGTCTATCACCGAGAACGAGCCCAAGCTGGAGCGAAACCTGGCCGAAATTCAAGCTGCCATCAGAGAGGAGCGAGAGGCTGCCAACACTGGTAGCTTCAAGATGATGTTCAAGAACGGCGACCAAAAGTTCCTCTACCGGACCTTGTTGGGTATCGGTGGCCAGTTCATGCAACAACTGAGTGGTATCAACTTGATCACATACGTAAGCTTTTTCTGCTGCCCATCCTAGAGTTTGGGCAGATGAGTTGCCCACTTTCGTCTGGTTCATTGTGCTGACTTGTCCCAGTACGCCCCAGTTATCTTCCAGGAGTCCGTTGGCATGTCACACAACCTCTCCCTCCTGCTCGCAGGTTTCAACGGCGTCGCCTACTTCTTCTCCTCCCTCATTCCGATCTGGATCATCGACCGCCTCGGCCGCAGAAAGCTCATGTTGTTCGCCGCCGGCGGGCAATGCGCATGCATGGCCATCCTCGCCGGCACCGTCTCCAACGGTAGCGTCCCCGCCGGAATCGTCGCCATTGTCATGCTCTTCCTCTTCAACTTCTTCTTCGCCGTCGGTCTGCTTGCCATTCCCTGGCTGTTGCCCGCCGAGTACGCGCCCCTTGCTATCCGCACCCGCGCCGCCGCCCTCGCGACCGCTTCGAACTGGATCTTCACCTTCCTCGTCGTCGAGATCACGCCCGTCAGTATCAAGAGCATTGGGTGGAGAACCTATGTCTACTTCTGCATCTTCAACGCCTTCTTCATCCCTCTCATCTACTTCTTCTACCCTGAGACGCAGAACCTCAGCTTGGAGCAGATCGACAGACTTTTCACGGGCGGCAAGGTGCAATTGTACTGGAAGTCGAGTATGGGCACGCCTGGCGAAGCGTCACACGCTCTCAACGAGAAAGATTCCGAGTCTGGCTCTGGAGATGTTCTCCGTGTGGAGAACAAGGAGGAGTTTACTCACTAGTTCGATGACCACCGTAGGGAAGGGGGTAAAGTGTGATGATCGGATGAGCCCATACCCACCGGGCTGAGAAGGGGTATGCAATTTGTTTTGGAGGAGATTCATGATATCCAGCGGTCTGCGCACCGCATAGCAGTAAAAGAGATGTCTCATTGTGCAGATGACAAGAGTGAAATAATACAACTCCTCAGATTGACCAAGCTACCCAGCTGGCCTTAGAGCTTACTATCCTTGTACACCGGCTTCCTCTTCTCGACGAAGCTCTTGACGCCTTCAGTCATGTTTTCTCCCGCCTCCATCTTGCGATAAATCGTCTGGTCAATGAAACCCGTCGCCTCTATCGGACCCATCGGCTCCCATCCAGTCTTCAGGCCCTCTCTCGAGACGATGATTGAATCCGGCGAGTTTCTCGCAATGGCCTCCGCGGCACCCAGCGCAGTCTCCATCAAGTCGTCGGGCTGCACGGCCTTGTTCACGAGTCCCCAAGATACCATTTCCTCGGCAGTGTAATCCGTTCTCCCAATCAGCGCCATCTCCGTCGCGCGCTGGCGTCCCACCGACTTGATGAGACGCGGAAGAGCGCCGGCAATGGCGATGACGCCGATAGTCACCTCAGGAAGCCCAAACTTGGCCTTGGTAGACGCATACACTAAGTCCGCATTGATGATCATCTCCATCCCGCCGCCTAGACACAGACCATTGACAGCAGCAATGACAGGCTTCTTCCCACCGCGATTCGACAGTCCGCCAAAGCCAGCGGTGGAAGGCCACTTTTCACCTGGCTTGGCATCTGGGTGATCGGCCGTCACCACCGGAGCCTGTGGGGCCGGGTCTGCGCTGACAGATGACGGGTTATTGGATTTGCCTGTGGTGTTGCGGACGTTCCACTCTTTTAGGTCCGCGCCGGCGCAGAAGGCGCGGCCTGTGCCGGTTAGAACGGCACAGCGGAGGGTTGGCTCCGTGTCGTACCACTCGTAAAGCCGAGCGAGGGAGTAGTGAAGTTCCGAGTAGATTGAGTTCAGGTGGCGGGGCCGGTTGAGGGTGATTAACATGATATGCTTACGGGGGAAGGAGACGGCGGCGTCCGGGCCGACGTCGGGAGGAGGGCTGGCGAAGTTGGGCGTGTGTGACATTGTGGAGGTGGGAATCGTGTGATGTTGCCCGTACAAGGGACTTCGTCAAGCTCGTGGATGAAGGTGGTTGAGGCGGAGGCGGAGTCGATGCTTAAGGGGGAGTGAGGATGTTTCACCGGGGTTCAATGTTGAGAAGAGAGGGTTTGGAGTTCTTGAGTTGTAGCCGATGTGTGTCACGCGCGATAGGTGTGATTAGGTGCCAACTTGTATCAATTGAGTCTTTGAGGGTTGAATCTGATGAGTTGTATAAAAAGAGTCCATGGAGAATGCGAGAGACTAGCGAGGTTGGGGGATATCCGGGGTAAACATGCTGTGTTACATCCATTTGCCTCGGCTCGCTTGAGTAATCGGGATTAGTTTCCGTGCGGGGTACACCGAGCTCGGTGTAGAGCGGTAAGGTTTCGGTGGAAATGCTAATCAGTTGGGGTTATGGAGACACGGGGAACACCTTATCCACTCCCGTTCCACGCTCACGTTGAGTCTGGTCAAATAAACAGGTGCACGGCACTAGTTTGGCGGACAGTAATCTTGGCTTTCAGGCTCACCTGATGGCCTTTGAATAATGAGGTTTCGTATAGATCACTTACTAGTAGATGATAAGCGTCCCACAATACCCTTAGTTAAGAAAAAAATTGAACTACCTCAATTGAAGCTTATTTGTGTTCATTAAATATCGCTAAATGCTTCTTTTTCCAATTGAGAATGAATACTGTCCGAGCATAAGGTATGCAACACTGATCATCCGCTTATATGCAGGCTCTATTGCCTTGAGACGGAGAAGCATTCTACTGCCGGAAGACACCCGTGATTGAGATGGCTTCCTGCACCTACAGACAGATCTAAACGGCAAGGCTGATTATGCATTTGAATCTCAGATACTGTTCGAACTACATATACTCTTGTGCATGTATTGAACAAAAATTCATAGGGAGCTTAGTACATCACTCAAACCAAAGAAGTGCTGGAGATTGGGACAATGACTTCACTCCCAACATGCATGGTTACCTGACAGTTATGATTACCCTTGCCGGCTGGCGGTCACACTGTCTACAACACATAAATGTGTCACCTCAGGAACTTTATAGTCGCTCGTGTTCCCCCGAGTCGGTATACTGGGGAGTGAAGCTGAGGCAGTTATGGCTCAACTATCACGGACGCCGATGACCGGCGATGAGAATCGGCCTGTTTCATCTCAGCGATATCTGAATGGCACGTTGTGACCAGCGCAGTGACGTGCTACAATGCCTGAACTGATGATTACATGCAAGCCCTGGGGAAAAATACCCAGGGGGCAACAGTTTCATCGCAACTCGAGACTTCAGGTCATAAGATCAGCCAGTACAGATCTCTTGGGCCTGTATGTCAATCAACGTATTGATAAAGACGGACTTCAGATCGGACGGAACCTGATGGAACTAACCTTTGGTCCCCGGACGGCACTCCGCGAACTTGGATTTTAGTAGAGTTGCCCTGTGTCTTGGAAAATTTACATCGCGCAGTTCTCCGCGTTGACTGCTGGACGGGCGTTCTCATACGGAGAGCATCACCCGTTCCCAGAATAATTGATGATTCAAGTCATCTTGCATGGCCTGGCCCTGCCCAAACATGCATAAAGCAAAACTGTGGCAGAACTCACGCGTAATTCTATGGGCAGCATGCATGGTGGAGTGCTCGGAATGCCCGGCGGCCTGGGTGGGAGGCAACATATGAGCAAGTAATATCAACGACAGGTTGTTAATATGTGTAGGGCGGAGAGAAGATTTAGACTCATCGTCCGAAGATCCCGAATCCGACTCCATGGAACCATGACCCCGTACCTCCTAAGACGGCGAACATCTTGTAACGAAACTCGAACTTCTTGGCCAAAACTCCCTGAATTGACTCGAGTACATCGTCTCCTCGACCCCTGACAAGCCACACCCCTGTTTGACAAGCGCCGAATCGTAAAGTCTCCGACTAAATACTGCCCGGGGTTCCTCCAGCAGTGGCGTGCCCGATTAGACTTTCTTTGGAGCCCTCTTAGCCGAACTCCTTTTTTTTCCCCCAGCACACCATCTCGCGGACCTAGGCAAGTGTCAGCATTGTCACAATGCAGCTCTGGATTTTGACTTTTACACCCAAAACATCAGACTATGCCGCAGAATCATGCCAAAACCTCCGAGTTAGAGAAGGGGAAAATTCGTCGCAAGTCTGCGGACAGATGCAGTCTGAAGTCTTAAACTCTATCTTCGGATGGCATGGGAACGATGGCGATGGTCTCTGGCAGCTCATTCTGATAGCATATATCATCATGAGAAAGGCCTTCAATCTTGTAGACACAGGAATACTAATCACCACTTTCTCTTCAACATCTCGGGTTCAGCTCTCTTTTTCGATTCTTCTTTTGCTACTCACTTTCTTTTCGCGCAGTGCCGGCCATTGCTTTTCTCTGCATCCATTCGTTTGTAAACGCCAAAAAAACTTGACCCTCACGTTCTCTAGAGTGTCTCGAGACCTAAACGTAAATCACAATGAAGCCCTCTTTCCTTACCCTCGTTGGTCTCTTAGCCGTCTCTGTGGCTGCCAACCCCGTTCCTGCCATTGGTGGTGCTGTTCTAGCGCCCAGAGGCAATGGAGCAAACAACAACAATAACGGTGCCAACGCTGCCAAGGGCAAGCAGAATGGCAAAAAGAATGGAAACAACGGTGCTGCCGGAGGGGCGGCCAAGAATGGAACTGCTAATGCCGGCGGTGCTGCCGCTGGTGGAGCCGCTGCGGGCGGCGTCGCTGCTGGTGGTGCTGGTGCAAAGGCCGGGAATACTTCAGCTCTTGTCTTACCTGATGGGCGTATCAAGGCAGACGCGACACCCGAGAACTTCAATGTTCTTGAGAGTGTGTTCAAGAGTGCTGTAGTCAAGGGTGATGGTAAGTTATCTCTTGATGCTACCTAATTGTGCTCGGATCAAAGCTAAGTATGGGTCAGGTCTTGTTTTTAGCGACATCATCACTTTCCCCGAAGGCCAGGCCTCACTCGTACGTATCAACTTCACTTAACTAGAAATTCTTGATTGTTTCTTACAACTACTAGTTCGACAAAGCAACCAACACCAAGGCCTTTGCCATCAACATTGATGACAAGTCTGTCTTCGTCCCCAAGGGTGGTGAAGCTCAGGCAAACATTCGTCGTGCCGATCTGCTTCCCAGCATCAGATCTCAGCTCAATGATGTAGCCGTCACTGGTGTTCGAACGATGCACTTCTCTATCCAGCGCGACGCTACCAAGCCCCTCAATGTCACGCACGACTACCAGGTTTTCAACCTCGAGTCCAAGGATTTTTCCTTCCACCAGATTGATGTCCGCACTGGAGCCGACAACGGCAACGAGATCGCGGTCTTTGGTAACTCCAAGACCACTCCAGCTGCCAAGATCTTCTCGACTCCGTTCGGCGAGGGTCAGTTTGAGAACTTTGCGATCAAGATGGACTTCAATGCCAAGTATGTGCTTCTTCACGATAGACTCTTTAGTAAATGTCCATTTAACTAATCGTGTTTCATAGCACCGTCCAAGTGTTCCACAGCACCGCCAATGAGCCTTTGAAGCAGGCCACTGAGCCTGTCGCCAATGGTAAGTGGTACCCTACCCAATTATGGAGAGACTGCCAGGCTAACAGGTTGCAGATCTTGCCGGTCTTGGTGAATACCACTTCTCTCTGCAGAAGAACCCCGTTGGAACTGCAACTCAGCCCACTGGCATCAAGGAGGCAGTCATCTTTGGCGGCATCTTCATGGAGGACTCCACCTCCGGAACAGTTACCCTTCAGTAGTAGCTCTAGTTGTTCAACTCAGTCATCGCTGTTCTTCTGCAGAAGAAGGCAGTATTTTATGGCCAGCATCAGGCGTCATGAATCAAGCATCAATTTAGAGTTTGCTGCTTCAGCGCACTAGAATTGCCAACGTGAATGATGATTTCTTCTCAGAACTAGAGAAGATACTGTGTGGCATGTCAAACTCCTCCATGGGGTTTATCGTCTATCTTCGCAGTACTTAACGTCTAAAGTCTTCATGGTCATATGCGTGACGGCGTAGACCTCAAACATATAGGCGAATAAATCAGAAGACCTTTTCCCTGCGCATGAAAATACTGCACACCAAGCAAATTGCTCCAGCAGCAATGATTGGCACATAAGCCAGTTGAATTGCTCGAGTGATACCATGGATTGCCTCAACTCTCACCTCGGGTGAGGCCGAGTCGATCAAGCCGCTACCCACGCCCGCGAGGGCATCGGAGATCACGTCGGCAGAGACATGAGGGAACACTTGCGCCAGTGCACGTTGGCCATAGTTGACAAAAAGTGCTCCTGACATACCAGTGCCGAGGACGATGCCGATCATTTGACCAACAGTCATGAACCCAACACTGTAAGGGATCTCGTTCGGTTGAACCTTCATCTGGGCAACGGCGAACCCGGCTTGGCAGAAACAGCCGACGCCTGTGCCTAGGATGATGGTGTATCCATAAATCTTAGCATTCGAGGTGTGTTCATCGACGATGTCTGATTGCAAAGGTCAATAGACGTGCGTTGAAAAAATAGAGTCATGACTCACAGAGAAGAACGCCGCCGATAAGTTCGAGAGCTGAACCGGCGATGTACCATGGGTAGTAGTATCCAGTACGTCCCATAAATTGCCCATTGAGTAGATTGAAGGCTACCAGAAACAAGATGAAAGGTAAGAGATGGACGGATGTCTCAACTGCCGAGATTCCGCGGGTGAACTGATAATACAGCGGCAGGTAGAAGATGCCAATGAAGCTTCCGAAAGTCGCAAGCACTGATAGTAGGCTATTAGTAATCGCGGGGATTGGGCAAAAAGAACGAGCGAAACGTACTCATCGTGAAGAAAAGGCATATCATGGTTCGGCTCTTCCAGAAATGCATGGGAAACAGACGGTTCTCTCGCGATGTGCCGATGAAGTAGACTTGCTGCAAGACGAAGAGAATAGTCAAAACACCCGCTGCCAC